TGTTCTGTGCTCTGGGCCCCTTGTCCTTGACAATCAGGATGACATTTGGTCTGGGAGGTACTCCAAAAGGCCTAGAGTCCCCCAGATAAAGGGATGGGGACTCACTGCCCACATTCTGTGGCTGAGACATAGCCCTCCCCCTCCATCCCCGGCCAACCCTGAAGCCTGCAGGGGGACCCCACTTAGGGACCATCTCAGAGAAACTTGGAGGGGAAAGAAGTATTTCTGTCCATCTGTCTGTCTGCCCTGCACATCAGAATCACAGAGGGCCTTTGGGCTGCATAGCACCTGGGAAGCCCTGATGGAGCATGGCAACGCAGAGCCAGGGGCCAGAAGGGCTGGGATGGGGGCTGGGGGGAGCTCCATCCCCCGGGACCGGCAGGCAGGGGCCTCCGGCGGCAGGCCCAGCAGGGAATGGTGTCTGGTGCACGGCGGGGCGTCCTCCCAGGAACGCTGCCCACGATCGGCCGGCTGGGGGCCAGACAGCAAATACGCCACATTTTTTGGCGGCTCAAGGGCCTGGTTGGAAACAGTCACCGTTTTATTCTGCAGAAACCACACGCTTTGCATCCCGGTGCCCTGCAGGGCGTGGGGGTGGAGTCCGGCTGCGGCCGCCTGGGGGCTGGGCAGCTTGGGGTGACAGGCCAGCTCCTGTCCTCTGCTATCTCCTCCGAGGCCAGGCTGGGTGCCAGCCACCACCCGGGGGTGACACCAGGGCCTTCTCCTTTGGTGCAGTCAGGACAACGGGAGATGGACCACAGGGGCCCATCCCCTCCCTTCATGGGCTGCTGAGGAACCAGAAAAGATCGGACCCCCAGGCCTGCCTGAGGTTCCCCAGCTGGGAAGGAGACACACTGGGACCTGGGAAGTCACTTCAGCTGAAGGTGTGAATGGCCCAGGTGGCCTGGACTGGGAGGGGAGAACAGAAAAGCTTCCCAGCCCTCACACGGGGCCCTCCTGCACCTCCACCGCACGCCCTGGCTCGCAGCCTGGCGAGGAAGAGGGACAGGTGCGGGTGTTTGGACACTGCCGTCCCTGTCAGAGAAGCTGCCTGGGTGGGTGGACGTGTAGGTCTGAGAGTTCTGGGGTCTGTGTGCCCTCCCACTCATGCTCCCCCAGCCTGGAGGGCAGCTCCTCCCTTACCCCTCCTCTGTGTGGCAAGGACCCTGGGACCCTACCCCAATCTGCTCGGGGTCAAGCCCTTTGCACACACCAGCACAGCTCTCCAGAAACGGCTTCCAAGAGCAGGAAGGGACCCACCAAGGTCATATGGTGAGGACACCCATAGTCACATGGCAAGGTCGTCCAAGGTCATAGGAGATACCCAAGATCACACTACTGGGTGGTTCAGAGCATGGAGGAGCCCAACAGAGCCACATTCTCACCCCATACCCTTGGCTGCCCCCAACAAGTGTACACAAAGGGTCCATGACAGACCTCCTTATAAAGAGCCCTGCTCGGCCAGGATGGGCTCGGGGCATTTGCTCTGCTTCAGTTCATGGGCCCCAGAAACACTAGCTCCTCCTGGCCCACCCACTCAGGCCCACGCAGGTGTGTCCCATCCACCCACTTCCCCCCCAGCAGAGGCGGCCTGACAGTGCCCTCAGGCCCCCGGCCCGCCTCCTCTGGTGCCAGGAGGGCCCCTGCTGAACTCAGCACATACACGGGCACTGACATGCACAACCGCGGTGGGCAGCTGCTCCAAGAGGCACTCGGCAAGGCCCCTTGGGTCCCATTGGCTGGAGCCCAGCGGTGGGCACCGGCGGTGCTCAGGGCTCCCTGCCTCATCCCAGGATCTCCTCCTGCCCAGCAGCCTTTCTCTGGCTCTGACGTGGGGAACCCGGGTTAAAGGTATGACCAGGACACAACTTCATGGCTCCCAGCTCTGTGGCCACACGGCCAGCCGCCTACTGTCACCAGGGAGTATGACTGTCCCCAAAGCCTGGCTAAGGCTGCCAGCCAGCCACCCGGCACTGCCTGACCCCTGTTACACCTAAATTGTTAACTGAAGCAGAAAAGTCACTTTATGTCACTGCCAAAAATGAACTATCACAGCACCAAGGCACCGAGGCGAACTGAATTTGTAATGCAACGTTCAGCTAACACAGACCCGTCCCAGCCACACAGGGAAACGCTGAGTCTCAGTCTGGGCCACCGCAGAGTGGGCCACATGACAGGCAGGACGGACGGACCCACATACGTCCCCTTGCTGCCTACATCCCCAGAGGGCTCTGCAGGCAGGGTCTGGGGTGCCTGCTACAGCCCAGCCAGGCCCTGGTACCCGGAGCCCCGGGACAGGACCATTTGGGAGCCACCTGGGATGCAGCTGGCAGGGGCTAGATAGGGACAACAGCAGGCTTCCCGGGGGGAGCTACAGCCAGAAGCCCAAGTGGACACAAGCAGGGAGGGGACCAGTCTCAAGTCCCACCTCCAGCTGCTGCCTTGGGGGATGTCTGAGCCTCGGAACCTCTGTTCTGATCTGCACGAGGAGGTCACAGGCCCTGGCACAAACGGCACCGATACAACTGTCCCCCACAACCCTGACACCCACCAGAGGCCTGGCCCCAGGACCAGGCATCGTGGCTCCATTCCAGGTGAAGCAGGACGGGAGAGCACCTGGGATAAAAGGTGGGCCGGCCTGTGTTCTGTGGGACACACGGTGTCAGCAGCAGTGACAAGGAGGAGAGGAGCTAGAACTCAGCACTGCCGGGGGTGGAGGGTGGGCAGAATGGGGGAAGGGGCTCATAGGACAAGGGAGTCGGGGATGGGAGTAGAACACAGGGAATGCAGTCAGTGAGGCTGAAGGACCGTCCTGCGGGGAACATGGTAGTAATGGAGAGAGCGGTCCGGTCCCCGCGCTGTGAGTCCGGAGCCCGCAGGGCACCATGCCAGCCATGCTTCCATCCCAGGACTTCAGCTCAGCAGCATGTGCCCAGGGAGCACCTGCTCTGGGGACAGCCCAGAGCTCAGGGCCCTGGGGGCCCCCCACCCAAGGGCTTCTTCCTCCTCTGCTGCTCTCCCTGGGGGCCTGGGTGGCAGCCATTCTGGACTGGGCCCCACAATGGCTCCAGGGACAGATGCGTGCTAGCACAGGGCATGGAAAGGCCGCTGTTGGGCCCCAGGCGCCTGACACCCACAGGGCCAGCCAAGGCCCCAGCAGTGTGGAGCGTCCGGCCTGGCCTGCTGGTCCCTGGCAAAACGCTGCCCATCATTCTTCCACTGCTTCTCTGCTCAGCCGCCCCCCCGCCACGAGGGTCAAGGGCATGCCAAGGGCACAGTGCCCTGTCCTTCGTTCCCACCCCCCGGAATGTGGGAGGCGCATACGAGAGGCCTCTCCCCAGCAGCGGCTGAGACTAGCCCAGGTTGGCGGGCGGCACAGGGACACACCAGGGACAGCCACCCAGCCAGGTGCACCCACTACGAAAACCAGGACACCAAGTCGGTGTGGAGCGGAAGCTGCTCCGAGGGAGGTGGGGAGGCACCTAGTCCACCTGGCACCTGGCAAGACCCCCGACACAGGGCAAGGACAGGTGTGACCAGTGGCTACGGGTCTCCAGGCAGGTGCACCTATGAGAGACCCATCAGCCCAGGGCTTTGCCCCTCTGCAGGGCCAGACCCACAGAAAGGAGGGTATGCTGAGGGTGGGGGGGACGTGCTTCTGTACAGGGAGGCCAGAGACCCTGAGGCCCGTGCTGGGTCCCTGTGCGCCTAATACAGAATCTTTATTGTGTGTCCGGCTACCATACCCAGGAGGTATAGACAGAGGCCCGTGGCTCAAGGACACAGGGCTTGCAAGAGTGCGAGGGACCAGCCCCAAGCAGACACTGACTACTTGAGCGCACCCAGGTGCAGCCCAGGGTGACAGGCTAGGAGGGGCCCAGGCAGGAGCAGAAATGCCAGGAATGCAGGGCAAAGCCGCAACAAAGCCTGTGGGCCGCGTAGGCCTGCAATCCAGAAACAATCCCGCCACAGACAGACCGCAGCCTCCACTGGGCGGGTAGCAGCCCCTTCCTGGCTGGGCGTGGAGGCCACCCGCCTGCCCCAGCTCCGCCCAGCAGCACAGGCCCTGGCCAGGGCAACAGGCACATAACCCGGGGCTCTGAGCCCTCTTTCAGCACCATCCCCTCCCCAGAAGCACCCTAAAGGACAGACAGGTCCTTCATCAGGCAGCTTTGGGCAAAAGAAAACAAACTGGGCAGTACTGTCAGCATCTCGGAGAAACATAAATCCATAAATCACATGTTGTCCACCTACCATCACACACGTCTCCACCGCACCATGTCCCGAGCAGCGCAGCTGCGAGATGCCCAGCACAGGGACGGAGCCTCCACGGGGACGGAGCCTCCATGGGCCGCACACAGCCGAGCACGAGCTGGGGGGATGCCGCCACCTGTGCCCGCCCCTCGAGCCCCTACCCCCTGCCGTCCTTCGCGTGAACTGCAGACCAGGAACCACACCGTGAAGATGGGCTGCTGAAGGAATGCTTTTATAGAAACTCTCCCACGAACACACCAACTCCAGAGATGCTCGCTCTTGCTCCGGAGACCCCACAGGCAATAAAGAGATCATGACAGTCACACAGCCTCTCTGTTTGAAGCAGGGAGAGCGGGTCACGGGCGACACAGGGCGGCTGGCCTTCCCGGGTTCAGCCCGCGGACACTGAAGTCAACTCACTTCCGGATGAAGGCCATCGTCTGCTTCACTGCTCGGGTGGGCGCCTGGCCTCCGTCTCCACGAGGCCGCACACCCAGGCAGGATGGCATTGTTGGCCCATTACCATCAGATCCCCGAGTCCCAAGGGCAGGCCTCGCAGCGCAGGCTCTGGTGAAGGGTGGCCCAAGGTACCCCCAAACAACCGCCCCGGGTCAGAGACAGGGTCTAGACTCAGTTACGCAACTAGAAAAATGTGACCACAAAGCACTTTTCACGTGTATGGGTTTTGTTGGTGGGTTTTTCTTTTTCCTTTTGATTCAAAGAAAAAAACATAGCAGGCTCTCAGGTATACAAAACTGGTAATATTAGATAAAAATACAAACTTCACCTTTACAAAACAAAAACAAAAACACAACACACACACACATTTCTGTTGAATACATGTAAAGCGTAACATCTTACCAAAAATAAAGAATTCAGATTCTGTCCAAACACTGGCACAGGGCCACCTCGCCAAGGCGAGGACTGGGAGCGGCAGGCCCGGGACGGACTCGATTGGTTCACGCATAGTTCTCTCGAAATGGCTTAAATTAAAAGGCAAGATAAAGTGGGGGCAGGGGACAAACACGTAAAGCCAGAAACATTTAGGAAGTGATGCATAGGTGGATATACCATGTTTATTTTAATACATCTCATTTGTTCGCATCCTGCGAGGGGAGATACGGTCCCACTGTCCTGACTTACAGCAGCCTGGTGTTATCGGTGTAAATGTCATCCAAGAGATAATTAAAAAAAAAAAAAGGGCTAGCCAAAGAGTAAAAAGGAAAGCTTAATAATCACTTTATGGTGTGTAAAAAAAAAAAAAAAAAAAAAAAAAAAAAAAAATCCACTTAAGGCTCTCGGGAAGGTTTCTGTATAGACTTAAACACTACAGCAAGGAGATGTGTTTCTAAGTCCCGTGGCAGTTCTGGGACATCCCTGCTCCCATGTGCCCCGCAGGGCCCTCAGCCCCCGCCCGGAATCCTCCAGAAAGCAGGCTGTGTCCCTGGCAGAAGCACCTGTGACCCTGGACAGAAATCCGGTCGGCCGAGGCACGTCGCTTCCATCCCACGGGGTGTCCCTCCATTCCGACAACTGTTTAGATATTTTTGTGAGTCAGTTTTGTTTGTCATGTTTTGTGGTTCTGTTTGCTCTGTCTCTCTCTCTCTTTTTTTTTTTGACAAGGAAGCTTCTTATTGTTTCACCGAGTGCTACAATACTTGCTTTGATGTCACATTAAACAAATGTATACTGTCTCTTTGTTCTCCCGAGTGTGCATGGAGACAGTTTTTCACGGAGGAGAACAAAGACCGCACGCTGGCAATGAGCACCGTACATAGTAGGTTCAGGAATGTAACACGCCATGTACATCCGTGTCCCGGAAAAGGGCTGCTGGCTTATCCTCACCTCACATCTGCAGGGAGAGGGGAGAGAGACGGACACTGACAAGGAGCCGAGCACACACGCCGCCGCAGGGATAGTGACCACAGGGAAACACACTCACACACACCAAGACAAATCTCAGAGTTTCAGGGTTTTGTGGCATTTTCCAAATCAAATATGCCTCAGTACCCTTTCTGTAACCTCCTGACCAGAACTGGGACGAGGCTCTTGGGATCTCACAGAACATTCCTTAGAACAAGCCCCATTCTCCCATTGTACAGATGAGGGAAACTGAGGCCCAGAATGGTTCTTTCTTTGCCTTTTTCCTCGTGTTATTTCTCCACCCCCACCCCAACAGAGGGCTTGATGTGATTTCTGGAGCTCTAGCAGCCATCTTGGGCCATAAGACAACCCTGAGGATGGGTGCTGCCAGGCAGACAAGCGGGGTCTTGGTAACCAGGCAGATCTACACTGAGCTCTGGGCTAAGAACAGCTCTTCTCCATCCACATCACCTGTACCACTCACAAGCTAGCAGGGACTCTACGTCCCATGCACTTGACATCTCTGTCATCGGCTGGCCCATGGAGGCCAGAGCCCAATCGATGGTGTGCAGACTGGGTGCACATGCAGGCACAAAACCACCCCCAGAGCCACACCCTCAGGGAAAGCAAAAATCACAGGCAAAAAATTGTGTTGAGGCCGCTTCAGGAACCCACCCTAGTAGATCCTTTCCTCCCCAGAGGAATGGACCAGACCCACCAACCTCAACGCGGCTGACCTGGCAGCTTTCTGCAGTCACTCAACCAGCACCTGGGCTCTGAGACACCATCTCTGAGAATCTCTCCCACAACCACCTGTTTGGGATGCCGTGGGCTCACATGTGGCCAGAGGCAAGGACCAGGCTCTCCAGAACACACAGGCCAACAACAAGGAGCAAGAAGGCTGGAAACTACCTTCATCATGACTGTGGTTACCCAAATCCCATTTTCTTCTGGGAAGCAGTATGCCTCTCTACAAGACTACGCTGCCCAGGTCCTCTTGCAGCTGAAGGACAGCCAGGGTATCACAGCAGAAGTCACTGAGTGGGACTTCTCTAAGAGGGTTCTTCTGTCCCTCTTCCAATTTTACTCTTCCAGCCTGGAGTGTAGATGTGATTTCTGGAGCTTCAGCAGCCATACTGAGCCATGAAGCAACTCTGAGGATAGACAGCCCCCAGACGACACACCTGCTCCTAAACGTCTGCCTCACCCCAGCCCTTGTTGGTTTTGGTATTACCAGCAGCCAAAGAGAGTTTCCAACACAGCAGTCAACAGCCCTACATGTCTATGAAACATTTCCAGACAGGACCCCCGCAGTCTTCAATTCCCTCACCTATCTTCCCTATAAGCCTCAGTCTTCCATCTGTCAAATGGGACGGGTAACCTGCCCAAGGTGATCCCGGCTAATAGACATCAGAGCTACCCCACTGCCATTCAGGAACCCGACTCACTCCACTCACGTGACGCCAGGGCCTCCCCCATTAACGCAAGAGACCCAAGCCAGAGCGGGCACTCGGGAGCAGCAGGACACGCGAGCGAGCAGACCCGCAGCCCAGCCAGACACCGGAAGCTTGCAGGCCGATCAGGGCCGATCAATCAGAGCCGCGAGCTGGCTGCCGCGGGAGGGATTCGCCTGTGATCAGCTGGGCACCTCCCCCCGCAGAACCACGGCGCAGCCGCACACAGCGCCTACCTGGTTGGCTGCGTTAGGTGGGTTTTAACCTTTTTCTTTTCCGTTTTTTACCTGACTCCCTACGCCTTCCTGTTAACAGAAGGGCAGGGAGGGTGAGCGGGCCTAAGGGTTAGGGCTGCGGACCTGAGGCAATAAATAGCTGAGGTGTTTGTCTTTCTGCAAGAAAACGCGATTAGCTTTGGCACAGAGACACTTCCTGGTGCCCTGGATCGGGCCCGACGCCGCGGGTCAGAATGCCACGCTGCCTCCGGGCAGAGTCCGCCTGGGATGGGGGACGGGAGGTGTCCCGGCGCCGCCCCAGCCGCGCGGCTCCCGGGCACCCCGACCGGGGCGGGGACGTCCAGCGTCCCCCAGCACGCTGCCGGGCTGGCGGACGCCCCGCGGACTGCGCCAAGTGAGCAGAGGCCGAGGCCGAAGGGACATGGGAGGGGCCGCGGCGAGGCGGGACTTACCCGTCTCCTCCTCCCGGTGGTCGGGGTTCGGCCCTCCGGCGGTGCACGTGCATTCCAGATGCTCCTCCAGCCGCACCTGCACTTCCTTTAACTTTGGCTTCTTCCTGACGTACTCCACCTTGGCCACCTGCACGAGACAACAGCCCCGCCATGACCGCCGCGGCCACGCCCCGCACGCGGTACACCGGGAGCCCTGACGTGCTTACTGCTCAACCCCGCCCAGGCCGACCTCTGACCTCCGACCTCTCACCTCCTCCTCGCAGAAAGGCAGGAGCGCCAGGGGGAGAGGTAATTGTGGGTATTTGTAGTTTGGGGCACATTCACTGGAACCTGACGGACCGCAGAGGGGGATCCCACAGGCGCCAGCCCCCCCGCAGCCACCTGGAGGCCTTCCTGTGGCTCCCCCAGCTCACCTTGGCCAAGGGAATGCCAGCCTTGTCAGAAGAATGGGCAGGGGCCCCAGGCTGTCGTCCCAGGCCATATCAGGCCTAGCCCCCAGCCACTGACCCCTGCAGCTGGGCCTCCCCCGTCCACTCAAACCTCTTGTCGGCCCAAATCATCAGGGGGCACGACTCAGCAGACCTGCCTCTCTCTGCACCTCTCCCGGGGAGCCACCAGGAGCACATGGCTGTGTCCAGCCCATGGGCACAAGCCCAGGCAGCCGAGAAATCGAGTCCCTACAGATCCCAGCTCAAGCCTGGGAAACTGGCTCACTCTGTCGTGGGATGCCAGTCCACCCTCCACAATTACACGCATGTGCACACACATGTCCTGTCCCAAGAACAAGCTCCATGCTCACACGTATGTGCACACGGCATCCGAGCACACTCCGCACTCACAGCGCGGTGGAGGTGGGCTCACTCCATCCCAGCTCATGGAGGAGATACAGAACACTAGATAAGCAAGCCTTCCTCCAGGGGGCTCCCCTCCCAAGCACCCAGTCTGAGCTCAGTCCCCAGCGGGGGTGGGACCACCATGTCCCCACTGCCCTGGACCCCGAAGATCTGGGCACAAAGCCCATGCTCCCATCTGTGCTGACACCGGGCTGCAGTCCTGGGACTGGCCTCCAGGGATAGCCATTCCACCTCATTTGCCTGGGGAAACTGAGGCAGAAAGGGAGCAGAAAGGGGTCCCTGCAGGTTATACCCCAAGCATGTGGAGGCATCAGGGAGTTGGCAGGGGTGAGGGGCTCCCTGGTGGAGAGCAGAAGCCCCCAGCCTGGGGCAGCTGGGAGGGGAGGTGATGGGAGGGGGAGTTCTAACACAGAGGCCTGGAGCCCAGAAGCCAGAGGACCCCAGGCAAGAAGGATGGGCCCCCCCACAGCTGAGCAGGACTCAGGGCTTATCCAGACCCACCCATAGCCGCTGGGCCACATTAATGGTTAACCTGCCGTGCAAAGGGTGCCGGGTGCCCGCCAGCCGCGGGAAGTGGTGTGTGGCCTCAGGTGTGAATGCAGACAGCCAGGTGTGAGCTCAGAGGTGGAGTGGCAGCCAGGCCAGGTTTAGGGATAGGCCTGGCAGGTTTCCTAAGGAGGGAAGAGGTAGAGGAAAGGACCACGGGCATGAGCAGCCCCAGCTGCGGGGCCAGGTCAGCTCCTCACGGCACCTACCGCTCCAGGAGACCAGGACCACAGAGAGAGAGAGAGAGAGAGAGAGAGAGGAGAGAGAGAGATAGAGAGATCCTCAGGACATGGGCGCAGAGAGCCTCCACTTTCCTGTCTATAAAATGGGAACAAGGATTGTGCCCCAGGGCTTCACATGTACACAAGCATCGAAAACTTGCCACTGGGCCACCTTCCGTTCGGAACAAGCAAACCCTGTCTCAGCACATTGAGCTTAGCAAAACCAGTCCCCGGGGCCCAGAGTGAACCTCCCCTCGAGGGCACTGGGTGGGGTGTACCTCAGTGGGCCTCCTGAGAGGGCAGAGGACCCCTGCCTGAACCCGGCCAGCATGCCAACCCTCTGGGCATCAGAACTTGGGGTTGGTCTCAGCCCCCTCCCGCCCCCACCCAGCCCCAGAGCCTCTCAGCCAGTAGGTCAGAGGCCGCGGCCCCCAGCTCGGAGCACTCAAGCGCCCCATGCACACTGGACTGTGTTGGGGGACACAGGGAGGCTGGAGCAGGCAGGGGCCTGGCCCTCTGCACTGCACGACCGCTGCTAGGCGAGTACCTCACCTACTTACTCTAGGGGAGCGGGTACTTGGACCCCAGCTATGGGTGCGGGCGGCAGGCTTGTTTTCCACAGACCAGCCATGGCGGGGAAAGCAGGCGCTCCAGAACCGCCCCCCCCCCACCGTCCCCTTGGCAAAGCACTCCCAACACTGGCCTCTCCAGTCTGGGAACCCACTTTCTCTGCAGACGGGCTGTTTTTATCAAAGAAAAACAAACAACGATCTATGATTGCACCTGCTTCTGGGTATGTGAGGATTCCAAGCCGTTCCACCACCTCCGTCTGGCCAGGAAGTAGCTGCATTTTTCCCCCAAGAACACACTGTGAATATTAACTTCTCCAAGCAGCCTCTACACCAGCCAAGTCCCCAGAACAAGATGTTTGTGTCTCTGGGACCCTCGTTCCTGTCACCTCAGCCCCTAGACCCATCCTGCAGCCCAAACAGGATCCCCACGCCCCTCCCTCTCTTCTCCCTCTGTCTGTGTCCCAGGCGTCTGAGCTGCGCCCTATAGAGAGGACAATCCACTTCCTGTGGTGAGGCCACCTGGCAGGAACCACCCCACCTGTACACTCACAGGGCAAAGCCACCCGAGCATGCCATCCAGTGATGCCAGTACTCCTTCCAGACAAGGGACACCGAGCACAGAAGCCCTGAGCTCCTGCTACTCACGGTGTCCCAAGCTGGGCCAGGGAGAGCAATGCCCCTGCTGGGGACCCCCTCCCCAGGTTATGGCCTGACCACCCCAGAGTCAAGGGCATAGCACTGTCCACGACAAACACCAGCATTTACTGAACCCCTGTGTCACTCACTGCTGTGCTCACAGCTACCCTGTAAGGACCCAATTACAGTCTGTTTTCCAGATGGGAACACTGAGGCAGCTCGTACAGGAGATCCACGCCGCTGGAGTCCCTGACTTCCCCCAAGGTCCCTGAGCCGGATCACACACTCCATCAGGGTTCAGAGGCCCACACCCAGACCCAGCTTCCAGAAGCCTGAGGTCGGGTGACACAGAGCCACAGCGGGCTGCCCCACGTGTAGTCCAGGGGCTGGTTCCCAGCTTCTGGAGACCTGGGGGCCTAACCAAGTTAACAGACTTGGGTGTAAACCCACAGGATGCCCTGAAGAAAACGGGAGCCCCCAACTTCCAATGCCATGCCGTGAGAGGCTGGAGGTCCACCCCACAACCCCAGCTGGTGCGACTTGACCAGAGTCTTGGCCCCTGCTGTCTACACCACCCCTTCTCCTAGACCTCGAGCCTGGGATCTAGGGGACAGGGTCAGCTGCCTACAGGGTCTAGGGGCAGCATTCCCTGGGGAGAGGAAGAGCTGGTTCATACGGGACCCCAGTCAGGGAGAACACTTGGCCCCCCCAAAGGCAGACCCTAAATGCTGAGCATGGCGAGCTGACAGAGGGACACACAGGTGTGGCCCCAGTCCGGACAACGTGTCCACCCCTCTCCAAGATCTGACGACAGCTGTCCCTGCAACCCCAAGGGGACCACCCTGAAGGCAGGTCCCAGGAGACAAATGAGGGCCCAGCCCCAGAGAGCAAAGGGCCCACACCCGAGACCATCAGAGGGCTAGAGGCCCTGCCTAGAAGCCTCAGGCCACTGTCCCTGGTGGTCACGGAGCAGAGGCAGCCATCCACCCTAGTAAGTCCTAACAGTCAGGACCTGGGGGCCTTCGGCAGAGCATACCAGACAAGCCATCATCTGGGCCTCGTGTTGGGGCTGCTCTCAGCCTACCCTTACCTTCTCTAGTAAGTGCCTCTAATTGTGATCGAAAAGCCGTAAACCAAAAAACCAGGCACGTGTCAGCTCCGGGCAAGACCTCCCACCTGCCCAGCCACACGGGCCCCCGCTGGCCCCAGCACCCCTCACAGACACTTGGTGCAGGACTCTGCCAGGCCCACCAGCCCACTCTGCCTCACCCCGATGCAGCGGCCACAGCTTCCTGGGCAGCCGAGGGGACCAGGCCACCCTCCACAATGGACCTCCTGTTTTCACTGACCTTTTGTCCCTTCTCAGCCAAAACCCCCAGTGTCTGGGGCCGGATGTTTTCCTGCCAACCCTCTGATGGGTGGGCAGGGAGAAGGAGCTGCCTTCCCTGAGGGAGAAAGAGGAAGGGGTCCGAGAAGGGCAGGGCCGGACATGGAAGCAGGCCACCAGGCTCCAGCTGCAGGACTCAGCCCGTCCATCCCCTTGGGCAGACCGCGACCCTGTCCAAGCAGACGAAGACCTGTGCGGGGAGCCCTGGCTGACCACCACCACCTACTGAGTCCTTCGGGCCTATGCCCAAGGCTGACGGGGGCCCCTCCCAGGAAGCAGCCCCTGATGCCCACACGCCCGCCCACTCAGGGTGGGCTGGGAAGAGGGGATCACAGCCCACACCGGGACCAGACACACCCCAGTCCTTACCCAGGGGAGGCAGGAGCCCACAGGGCAGGGAGCCCCACTTCATTCCGGCACCGCTGTGTCTTCGAGAGACCAGCTGAACACCCAAAGGGCAACCCTACGCCCTGCGCCAGTGTGTGGGACTGTCATGTGGAGCTCCAGCAACCCCACTCCCAGCAACAAAAGATCTCAGGTGTCTGGGTTCTCAGGGCTCACGAGACCCCCTCACAACATCCCGTAAGGAAAGACACGGAGATCCAAGGGGTCCCACAGCAGGCAGCAGGGGACAAGTCTTGGTGAGGAACGCACAGCCCCATCCCCTTGAGCCCGTTTCCCCCTTTAACAAAGGGTGCAGAGCTGGGCCCCATGCTGGCTGGGGGCCCTGCCAAGACCGGAGCCAGCGCCCAGGCAAGTGCACCAGGCCGCTGGGAGCCTCCACTGTGGACAGCACAGCATGGCAAGCCGTGGAATTTGCTTACTCAATGCCCCAGGTGCTCAAGGACCAAGTCCCCGGAGGTCAGGTGGAACCCCAGTTATGGGCCTGACGTGCCTTCTCATGTGACAAACAAGTGTCCCAGCCAGCTCCGTGGTCTGTAAGTAAGAAAGTCTCCCCTGCACTTCACTCTGGTGCCAGGGGCTCACATCCAGGGGCCCCGGACTGGCAGCGGGCGCACGGGTTCTGAATTTCCAGTTGAGGAATAGCTTCTGATGCACCCCCAGAATCTGGGAAACACGGATGCACTGGCTGCTGGAGGCTTAGCTGAGTGGGCAGGCCATTGCCACTCGGTAGGTGTCCCGCTGCCCAAGTCCACAACCCAGGTTTTGTGGGACCACAGCCTTCCCAGAGCCAGCTTCCAGGGATGGCAGCCCCCTCCCCTAGACTGGGGGAACACAGGACTCTGCAGCCTAGCCACACATCAGAGAGACCAAGACATTCTGGTGCTATCCTTTCGGAAGCAGAACAGCTCCCCTCCAAACGGGGGCCCAGCTGCCCTGGGACCCACGTCCCACACAGCCTGAAATAGCACATCACCATGATTCAGACCCATTTCACAGATGGGGCAAGTCAGGCCAGAGAGGAACAGACCCATGCCCCAGGAACCCCTCCAGCCACTGGTGCAAAACACCACTGTCTGGCCAAGACCCCAGTATAGCAGCCCAGGGCGACCTGAAGAGGCTGATTTCCCGCAAGGACTAAGGCAGGAAGAACAAGGAGGCCCCGCACAGGTAATCTGGAACGTGACCTTGAAGTCTCCAGGACCAACGCCCTGCCCCGGACAGGGCTCTGGGGCAAGCGCCCAGCTGTGTGCCAGCACCCAGGGACTACGGCAAAGACGGCCAACCCAGCACCCATCCTGAGGGTCTCCAAGCAGAGCACAGCTTCCCAGAATGAGGGGAGGGTCTGGCTTTGCAGGCCCAGCCCCCAGGACTGAGGCACCCCCAGGAGGGCGCTTAGCAGGAGTCCACTTGGACACCCGCCCCACAGCAGAGCGGGGTGCCCTCCCTAACCTACAGACAAGGGACGGAGGCTCAATGTGGCAGGCCTGCTTCCCGTGTGCTTCTGGGGAAAGGCTGAGAGGACCCCACGCCCCTCTTGCCACGCGCCATGGCACATGTCCTGAGGTCGGTCTGCGATGTCGCCTCATGGGGAGACAGGGGGAAGGGAACCACACGCCTACCCCCCCTCCCCCGCAGCCGGCCCAGCCCCGGGTCCCGGCTCTTCCAGCACCCTGCTGTGCACCCGGGCCTGGCGGGCACCCCGGGGCGGGCCGGCTCACCTTGACGCTGCGGTGATGGACGCGGGAGGGCTGACACTTGACGCTGCTGGTGTTGCAGCAGCCCGCACAGCGCTTCACCTCCACACACGGCGGCCAGATCAGGAAGTTGGCGGACGTGGGGTCGACCTGGCTCCGAGGTATCTCGTAAATGACGGTCCTGGTCTTGCAGACCGCGGGGATGGCTTCCTCTGCAGAGCAAGAGCCACGGTGAAGGCCGGGCCATGCCCCGTGGCCCACGGGAGCCCAGCACCCCTCCCACCTGAAGGCCTGTAGGGGGCGTTTCCCCACGTGGCCTCATCCCTGCAGTACATCAGGCCACCCTAGGGCCCACACACTGGGCCCCCAACAGGGTGCACTCGGGCTGGCCCAAGGAGCAGCAGCAGTGAGGGCCAGGCAGGGAGGCGCAAAGGGAAGGGCACTGCTGGCTGAGGGGGCCACATGAACAAGAAAGCCTGATGCAGCCTGCAGGGGGTAGGGAGAGACCCGGAGCTGATGGGGTGGGTTGGGGGTGGGGTGGGTGGTGACTCTCTGCACAGATGGTTAGGGAGCTCCCAGGGCTAGTGGAGAATGGGGAGAAACAGGGAAGCCGAGGATGGGACCCCAAGAGCGAGAGGGCAATGGGCCCCACAGCCACTGGACCAATCAGGGCCCAGCCCCAGCAGCTGCCACAGCCCCCAGGCCAGGCCCAGGAAGGCAGGACAAACACCCAAGGTGGACAGGGAACGCAGGACACGGGACTCAGGTCCACCTCCCCAGCCCACGAGCCACAGACCTGCTCACTAAAGGTCACCAAGAGAGGAGGGACAGGCTCTACATTCCGCTCTGTACTCCTCGGCACAGGCCCATCTGTCTGACCCGAAGCCCCAAATGCAGCAGAGGCCAGGGCACCACTGCCCAATGAGACGTCCACCTGGGGACCCCAGCACGTGCACCTTCCTCCCCACATGCTGTCCTATGAATCCACACCAGCCCCCAGGGCTACTGGGCCTTGAGTAATACAGGGCTAGGGAGCCCGGGCAGGCAGGCAGGACCCCAGAACCCACAGAGGGCCTGGCACAACCCCCACGGCCAGCACCAGGCAGGGCAGGGCCCCGTCCCCTGCAGACAAGCGGAAGAGCCTGAAATGCAATCGAAGGACAACAGGGGCCTGCCTCCACCCCAACACCAGGGACAGGTGCCCGCCTCTCCTTTTCCCGTCCCCCCCACCAGGGCCAGAAGACTCCTGAGAGCCCCAAGGACTGGGGGGCCTTGCATCCTCCTCCCCAGTGGCCTGGAAGCACCTGGAGAGGGGGGAGCGCTGGGTCTCCAACAGCAGGCCTGCCAACACGGAAGGCTGGGCACTGGAAATCTGGCCGCCCCAGTATGCGGAAAGGGCTCTGCTCAGGGCAAGCAGCCCAGTGCCCACCGGCTGCGAGGGGCCTGGGGGCCCTGGCTGGGTGGGGCCGAGGGTGGAGCCAGGGAGACAGCCCGGGGCTCCCCATCTGGAACAGGACAGGCCTGCTGGAGCGCCCTCACCTGTGACACGGGTCTGGAGGACAGGAAACCTACCACAACAAACATCATCTGGGTGGGCCCACCTGCCTTCAGGAGGAGCCCTCGCCCACATGCTGCACCCCAGGCCAGAAGCTACTAAGTCTCCGTCCTGGGAGGAATCTAAGCTCCGAGGCAAGGAACAGCAGTGTGGGGGACGCACCCCACGCAGTGAGGACTGGAGGAGCGACCCCCAGGGGGCATGGGACTCAGGGCAGGGGGAGTCACACTCCCTGACCCTGCTCGCTCCCAGGGCAGCAAAGTGCAGGCCAAGATCTGTCTCAGAACTGAGCCACCCACAAATCCCCACAGCCTCGAGAGGCCAGGCAGACACGGGGTGCTCTGCTAGGGGACAGGACGCAAATACCCCCCCAAAACCGTGCCCAGCAAGTGGAGTGGGGGTCAGGGGCAGGGGCATCTGCTGGTGGCCCGTGCCGCAGCCGCCTGCCAGGCCACGCACTCCAGACTGGAAAGGAAAAGGGACCACGTTTGCACCAAGTCCTCCTCCAGAACAGGCCCCGACAAGACAGGGCACTTAAGGAATTTATGACGGCTCCCCTCTCCTGGAAACTCCTGGCCCAGGCCAGGCTGCAGCAGGCAGCAGACGGGCCGGGGCAGGAGGGAGGCCTCCGGAGAGACGGCGGGAGGCCAGGGCTGAAGGCGCTGGGGCCCCTGTGCTGGCTAGGCCTTTGTTTTGCTTCACTGAAGGCCCGGTGGGGAGAGCCCCCTAGATCCCCCATGCACCCTCCCCTCGCCCTGGCAGGCCCAGGGCTCACCAATGCTTCTTTTCCTCCGGATGGGCACGGGCCGCTGCTCAGGTGCATGCTTGGGGGCCCGGCCTGCATGGGCTCTCACACTCGTTTCCAGAGCATCCTCGGCCCCTGTAGGCAGAAAGAGGAAACGGTGACCAGCCGGCCCACATCCAGGTGTGCCCAGGGGGCCGGTCCAGCGGCGCTGCCTACCTGCTTCCTGGAGACAGACGGGGTCCCCTGGGAGAGCCGCCACTCCCACGTGCCAAAAATCTCCTCCCAGCCTCTGGGAAGCCTACACAGAGGGCCCCCAAACGTGGCACCCCTGCTGTGCTCTGTGGCAGACCCATGCGACCCGTGCGGAAGGGGCAGGTGATCTCCCCAGGTGAGGGCCGGCCGTTCTCGTTGTTAAGACCCAGAACTACCAGGCCCGCTGCTCCCAGACAGGCCCACAGGGACGGCCCAGAAAGGGCAGCAGATGTGGCTGCCGTGGCTTCCCTGATCTGTGTGCATTTCTCTCTCTCTCTCTCTCTCTCTCTCTCTCTTCTTACTAAACCATGGAGCACCCTAACCTTCGAGGCCCAATTGGGCCGACAGCCAGACTTGAGTTAGTCCACTCAAGAGGCTACAGGAAATACAGGTGGAGGAATAAAGGGCCAGGAATCCTGGTGCCTGGCAGAGGGGGCCAGGCAGCCAGAAGCAGAACCACGGTCCCAGGGTCAAAGTCAGAACTGGCCCCCAATCCCCAGGCCTGCAGCAGTGCCTGGTACATCACCTTCACCCGCCCCAGAGCCCCCTCCTGGGCAGCCTAGAGGAGTCCCAGGTCTCTCAGATTCCTAGAAAGGACACACGGTCCCACCACCTGCCACTGGGACCTACCCGCCGGGATGAGGCGGGTCACCCCAGGCCTCCCTGCCTTGGCCCCAGACCCAGCTGGGGGCTCTCCTTCTATTTCCCCCTCCATCCCTCACTCCCCAGTAGATCAGAAGGGGCACCAGTTCCTAGAAGCAAGTCCCCACAGCGAAGGGCTCCGGCGGCTGTGCAGATCTCCCCTGTGTCCTGCTGTCCCTTCCCAGAGAAGGCAAGTGGCTTCCTGGCCAGCCGTCCGGCCCAGAGGCCCCCCACTGGGTGCCTGGCCCACCGGGGCCTCAGCGACTGTCCACAAACCAGCAAATCCAAAACCGCCACTCCCTTAAAATGCAAACTGAAAACCAAGCAAAAGGTGCAAACAGCAAAAGATGCGTCTTTTCAGAAAACTAGTCTGGGAAGAACCCAAGTTCTCACTTCAAATGACTCAATGTTCCACTGCCACTAATTTTTCTGAGACCCAAAATAAGATCAGAACACAACTATTCATGCAGTAAGAATTTCCCATCAACCAACTGTTACAAGAAGCATTTTTTCACTAAAAAGTGACATTTATGAGTCACGTCCTGGTGGTGGCCATCTTGCCATCCTCAAACCAAAGAGCAACCGGCCCATCCTTGGCCTCCGGGAGAAAACATCCCATCGGCCACCATCTTCCTAGCCGTCTGAAAGCCAGGTGTCCCGTCTCCACGGGTGACTCGATCCTGATGCATCTGAGGAGCAAGGACGGGACCGCAGGAGGGGGCAGGGAACCCCATTCCAGCCACTTGCCTGGACAGACAGAAGAGACCACAGCCCTGAAACCCAAACTAGCGGGCAGACGGCTTGCAAGACAAGAGCCCTCCTCTGTCCCCCAATCAAGATGGGTGGTCGCAGTCCACACTGATGGGGGAGTGGCCTTTGGCCTGACACCACTTGAGGAATGACCCAGCAGTGACTTAGCAGAGAAGACACTGCCGAAACAAGGCTCAGGACAGTTAATCAAGGGGGTTTCCCTTTTGTCTTGCACGCAAATGTCCAAATGACAGCTCAAGATGGGGACCAGTCATCCTGCCTTCAGTCCTGGGGGGAAGCACTAATGGCCCAAGATGGGGACATTCATGTGTCCATCCCTCAGGGACCCCACCGCATAGGCACCAGGCCAGGCTACTCAGAGAACAAAGCTCCCAGGCCATCTCGCTGCTCGATGGCTGATTTCTCAACACACTCAACACACAAGTCCCAAACTCCAGCCACTGGACATTGAGAGATCACACGCTGTCTCTCCACCCAAAAGCCCTGAGTGCAAAGTCAGCTGCCCCCGAACTCCACGCGAATTCTGGGAACTCCCCAGCTCCATGCTGTTCTCACTGCTCCTGGGAGAAGAATCCCATCGACTCCGGCTTCATCTGTAAAATGAGGATGCGGCCGCCTGCTGTCCCATCCAGTCCATCACAAGGCCCCGCCAGGGAGGAGAGGACCTGGGAGAAAAAGTCTGCTTCCCAGGCCTGGTTAGCTCTACACCCAAAAAAACACCAACCTGAAGGGGCTGGTTCACCCTTGGACTACCAAATGGGTTTCTCCACACCCCAGCTCCTTTCTCAGGGATCCCACAGAGACCTCCAGCTGGACCTCATGGTAGGGGGCGTCCAGAGCCTGGAGAGCGCCTTCGTCCTCAAGTAACTGACCCCCACAGCAGCAAGATCTGCTCCAGCTTTGGGCGGGAACGGGTGTTGGGGGAAAGAGAGCAACTCAAGCTCTGGGAGCACCCAACGGCAGCTCCGGGCTCCAGCCAGAAACTGGGCCATGCCCTGCCCTGGCTTGCAACTTTCTGGTCTGCAGGAGGGTGCCAGACCAGGACGGAGACCCACGTTGGGATCTGTGTCACAAAGGGTCTCCTAGGGTGAAACCCTGCGAGTAAAGGTGATCCTAGAAAACCCCCTCTGTTCGCACCTCAGTTTCCTAGGCATGAGGAGTCGTACCCCAGAATCCTAGTCAGTCAGACCCCGAACCAGGTGACAGAAGGTGGAAGGCAGGGGTGGGGGTGGAGAGCAGAAGGGGAACACCCAGGGATTTTTATAAGGGGGCAATTTGAAACCAGCCAGGGAACTGGCTGAGGCGTCCTGCCTTTTCAGTTTGGACCCTCCCAAAGAGGCTCTGGGCCCAAAGGCCCCCAGGTCAGGAATGCCATCAGCATAACCCACCAAGCTGCAATGCAAAAAGTGTTAATGGAGGGGGGGAGGGACGGCAGAGACCAGAATAAGAATGGCTCCAACAGAAAGTGAATGGCCCATTTCCCGGTGGCATCCCAAAGCCATCCCACAGAGAGGCCCCAGCCCTGCACCGGCCTTGCTCCAGCAAGTCAAAAAAGAAAAAAAGGCCTGAATCTTCTTGGGGAGTCAGCCTCCCCACTTTCACAAATCCGCCAGGGACCAGCAGAATGTAGGCGAGTGTTTTCCTCAGCTAACCAAAGCCAAATCCTTCTCCCCAGGGTTACACATCAAGGAACCAGACCAAAATCCCCCCTGGCCCAACTCTGATCTCCAAGTGAAATTCTACCCCCTTCCTGATAAGAATCAGCCAAAGGATTTCCTGGGTCACGAAACTACAGAAACCATCGGCCTTGCTAGCAAATGGTCTTGGCATGAAATGAAAATAGTTCAGGCCTCTCCACCACCATAATTAGGTACAAATTTTCAAATGACTAGACCATGTGATTTTACTTAATTCCCCCCCATGCCCCCCTCTTTGAGGGTAGTCTGCAGTGAGAGCGAAATCTTCACTGAGAATTGTTCCAACGGACCTCTACTACCTTCAGCCTTCCATCTGACAAGCCCATTTGGGGCCTCTTTTTAACCAGACATTAATAAGACGTGTTTCTGTAACTAACCCTCACACGGGTGTTGCCCCACCAAGTACTAACGTGGAGCAGGACACCACAAAGATGTGAGCCAGAATCCCTGCCCTCTAGGAAAAGACACCCTCCCCGCCCACACTACGGCCCCCACCCCACCAGCAACAGCCTGGGTCCCTGGTGACCTTTCCCTGTCCATCCAGCCCCTCCAACTGACACCAATGAGTTTCAAAACTATGCCTTTACAAATAAACTCTCTTCTAAAGTGGCTAGACTCCAGGGCCTGACGGTGAGCCCCAAAATAGTCCCCAGACACCAGATGTGTCCAAGATGCGCCTCTTTATGGGCCTGTGAAAAAGAGAAAGGCACGGGACTCCTGCAACCACAAAGGCCGAGCTGCGGCGGAGCGGGCCACCAGCTCTCGGCAATGACAAAGGCGCCCCAGCCAGGGGCAGCTCCTCCCGCGCGTGCCTGCCCGCGGGGCGTGCGTCCAGGGCTCTGAGCCCAAGCCCCGGCCCGCTCAGCGGCTCCTCCCGGCCCCACAGGGCAGGCCCGAGGCCCGCACACCTGGCCCAGGCGCCGGCGCCCTCTGCGCTGCTGAACTTTGTGTGACACGCGCGGCATTTTCCTTAAATGCAAAAACAATCCCCGGGCGAGCGAGCAGCTCGAGGCCGCCGCCGGGAGAGAAAGTGGGGACTGGAAGAGAAACTCCTGACTCATCCGCCTGGGCTTTTATGGCCCGGGATTGGATTCTGACCTTTCGGTGCGCTCCTGCGCGGCGCCCGGCCGGCCCGAGCGCTGGAGGCGGCGCGGGGCGCACACCCCGCACACCCGCCCCGCGCGCCGAGGGAAGGGGCGCGATTTACCTACGGAGTCTATCTCCAGGAGTCGCTGGAGGTCCCGGATGCTGTGGATCTGACTGTACGCCAGCCTCTCAATCACCTCGCGGGGGATCTCGGCGTCCTGCAAGCAGAGCCACACGGTCAGCGCCCGCCGCCCGGCCGGCTCGCGCCCGCGCCCCCGAGAGCGGAGAGCGCCGGGTCCCCCAGCCGCGGTGACCCGGCCCCAAGTCCCAGGCCCTCCCAGCTCGCCGGCCGTCCGACCCCTGCCCGGGGCCCTGAAGTCAGACGCGGGGAGGGGGCGGGGGGAGGGGACTGGGTGCGACCCCAAATTCCCGGCCCCCATCCAGGTCCGCCTTTGCAGAAAGCCCCCCCCCCACAACCTTTAAATTTGCAAACAAAAGCCCGGCACCCCGGCCCCACAGCCCCGGGTGTCAGTTACAGGAGGTCTAGCTGCAGCGAGGGGGCCGAGGAGTTTCTGATTTTAATAGTGAAATCGACATCCAGAAAGATCAAGTTGAAATGCGTCACGGATCGGCGACGAAAGTCACGGCAGCCTTAACACTTTAATCTAGCCAGGGGCTTAAATTTCACACCCCGGAATCCCGGGCCGAACCTGTGGGGTCGAGGGTCTCCGTAGCAAAAACGCGCGCGCGCGCGCGCACTCACTCGTTCACACGCGCGCCCCACCCGCTCTGGCCGGGCTGCGGTCCTAGCACCGCCCAAGGCGCCCCAAATCCAGCCGACCGCTGGGAGAGGCTGCCCGGCAACGGGGGGGTTAAATCTCCACCTCTCGCAGCTCCCGGTTCCTGCCCAGACCACCCCCACCTCCCGGGCTCTCCCCACTCTCCAGATTTTTAGAGGGAGTCGGGGGTCGCTGTGTGGGTGTGGGTGTGGGAGGGAGGGGTCTCAGGCACTAAGTTCCCACGACGGGGGCTGCAGAAAAGTCATTCATCACAGCAGAGCTCCCGGGGATTCGGGATTCGACATGGGGTGGGGGCGGGGGGAACGCCCGCGCGCGCCTGGCCCGGCCCCGGCTCGTCTCGCTCAGCCACCTGTAAGCAGGCCCTGGGCGGGCGGGACTGCGCCGGCCCAGCCGCCCGGCCGGGCTCAAGAACAGGGGCCGGGGGGCTGCGGACCCGCACCGCCCACCCTGCCTGCCGGGGGCTTCCGCCGCAACCGCCCTGTTTATACGCCGCTCTTCTCCCCTCCCTGGTTCCGCCAGGTCACACACACACCCCTTTCCGCGCTCCCTGCACCCCGATACTGCATTGTCCGCCGCGCCCCGGGCACCCTTCCCCGGAGAGGAGCCCGCGCCCCCCGAAGTTTCTCCCCACTCGTCCACCCCGCGCCACTCCGTCCCTCCACGGCAGAGCGACGCAACACGCTGGAAACTCACCAGACAGACTTCGGCATGGCAGAAAATAAAACCCAGTTGGAAAAAAATCAAAAAATCCGACCACCCTAGCAGAAATCAAAACGCGTTCTGCAGAGCCCCAGAACCCGAGGCGCCCCGGCCCGCGGGTGGTTGCAGGGGGCGTGCAACGGGGGAGTCGGAGAGGGGACGGGGCGCGGGGGTGGCACCCACCTCGGCCAGGGCATGGGCGAGATATCCGCAGCCGAGGAGTAGCAGGCAAGCCCAGGTCCTCATCGCGTCCCGAGGCGCTGGCGGCTCGGCGGGGAGGCGAGGCCGCGGGGCGGGCGCTCCAGCCGGGCTCCTGTGGCGGCGAAATTCAGTACCATCCCTCAGGGAGCGCGGCCCGGAGGAGGGTGGCGCGGAGAGCAGCGAGCCGGCGGAGCGCGCCCGGCGCGAGCAGCGAGTGCGGAGAGGCAGGCAGCGCCAGCGAGGAGGAGGAGGAGCAGGGAGTGCGCGCTCGCCGCGCCCGCCGCGCCGGGAGCCTCCTGGGCCGCCGGGTAGGGGGTGGGGACGGAAGGGGCGGAGGGCGGGGGCTGGGCCTCTTCCTTGGTGCGTTCCCGGTGCTAGCCGCCGCCGCGCTCGCTCCCCGGCGCTGGCTTTAGGAGCGACCCGGCCGGTAATTCTGCATATTTGCGGGCGTCAGCCCCGAGAGGGACCCCGGAGCGAGGCTGGAGCTGCCGCCGCCGCACCACCCATCACCTGTCTGGACGCCCGGCCGGGCCCCGGCCGCGGGCTCGCGCTCTCCCTGCGGGCTGCGGGCGGCCCTGCGCGCCCACCGCCGACCCCGCGCTCGCCTCCGGCCTCCTCTCGCAGCCGCAGCCCGGCCGGGCACGGCGCGGCCCAGCACGGCGCGGCCCGGCGGCCTGCGTGCGCCCCTCCGCGGCGTGCCCTCGGCTCTGGCGCCGCGCTCCGCCCTCCGCCGGCCGGAGCCCGGCAGCGCCCGCGGCCGCGCCGCCTGGCAGCCGCCGCCCGCCTGGGGCCTCGCCGCGCCGGCCTGAGGGCGGGCGCAGGGCCGAAACGGAGCCGCCGCCGGGGAGAGGAGCAGGAGGAGGAGGCGGCGCGGGCAGGCCCGGCTCGCCGGAGTTGTCCGGGCTCCGCAGGGCGCGCGTGTGGAGCCGGCCGGCGGCGGGGAGGGGGTTATAGCGCCGCCGCCGCCGCGCCCCTCCCCCGCCCCCTCCCCTTCGCCTCCCCCGGATTCCGGGCCCGGGACCCGCACCTCGGAAGCGCGCGGGGGCCGCACGGGCCGGGTAGGGCCCGGCCGCCGCCGCCGCTGCAGTGAGCACACAGTGGCGCTCACGCAGGCAGTGAGATCCATCAAAGCCCCGCGCCTGGCTGCGAGCACAGCCGCGGGGCTCCGCTCGCCCGGCGGGCTCCCCGCGCGCCCCTCCCTTGAGCTTGCCCACCCTCCAGTGGCAGCTGCAATCCTGCGGCACCGGACGGGGAGGGGAGGAGGCCGCCGCAGAAGAGCCGCCGTCGCCGGCTCGCCTCCCTCGGGCCCCAGCGGCGGCAGAGGGCAGCGCCCAGAGCTGCTACGCCAAAAAGGGCAAAAGCGAACCTGCCCCCGCCTCCGGCCCCCCGCCCCAGCGCTCGGGCCTCTTTCCACCGTTAGGATCCAGGGCCCCGGCCTCCCCGTCTCCATAAAAGGAGGGGGAGTGAGTTTCTGGTGAGAGGTGGGGCGGGTCTAGGGGCGCGTCTGGGGCACTCACCTGGCGGCTGCCACGCGCCCCCGCCCAGAATCCGATGCCTGGGGCGCCTGAGTGAGGAACCTCCACCCGCATTCCGAGATGGGAAAGCGCCCAGGTCGGAGGAGGGGGTTGCAGCGTGCCTGGTCCCCACCCTGGGAGCCCGCGTCCCCACTCCCTCGGAGAAGCCTGGGCTGCGGCCTGAGCGGGGAACTCGAGGGGGCGGAAGGGAAGGAAGAGAAAGGAGCGGCTCGCGAGGAACCCCCGGAGTCGGAGCCTCCCACGCCGGGATCCGCCGGGCGCACAGAGCGCCACCTCCGGCCGAGACGCTGCACCGAGCGCGATGCCGGGGAGCAGCGCGCCGGAGGCCGAGGCCTGAGGCGGCTGGACCGCTCCCCGACCACCAAAGGGCAGGTGCACCCGAGCTGGGCAAATCCTGTCCGCCTACGGCAGGTGGGATCGGACCAGCGGGTCCCTCGAGGGGCCAGCCGAGCCTTGGAAGCAGGGCTAGGAGGGAAGACCGGCCTTGCGACCCCACAGCTAGACGGCGAGGCCCCGAAGGCTCGGAGACTCCCTGACGGGTGGGAGGTTGGACGGCGGCCGGGAATTCCTCCGCCCCAGGCCTCCGCCCCCTTCGGTCCCATCCTGTGGATTAGGCCTGCTCCCTGCCGCTGCCGCCCTCCCGCCAGACAAAGGCAGTAAAGGCGTAGCCCCGCGGGCAGTCTTTCATCCTTGGCTCGGCGGGCTCCAGCATTTCAAAGGCCAAGTCGGGAGGGCGCTTCAGGGGGTGCTCGCTTTCCCCCTAATACCTGGGGAGTGGAAGGGGGGACCTCTTCTGCCACTCCCAGAAGGCTGGGGTCTACTGGCGTCCTTCCACAGGCTTTCACACCCCTGCAGCCTCCCAGAGCCCCTGCCATCCCCAGGCAGCAGCTTCATGAGACCACCCACCACCAAGCCCAATCTCTGAGTGTTGAGGGTGACGAGGGTGAAGGAGGACAAGGCAGAACCAGGGAAAACTTGGAGACGTTTAGAAGCACGTGAGGGCCAGTCCTTGTCCTTCCAGCTGGAACCTTTTGTGATTTTGGAGGGGGACACCCTGGCCGGTTTGAGGAAGGCAGCGGAACACGCACCACCAGGACTCAGGCTGGACTCCATCCGAGCCATCGTCTCTGCAACCCGACGGGACTGCCTCAGGTCTGGTTGAGCCTTGGACTCCCCTCGGTCAGAGGCACCTGAGGACACGCCTTCAGGGTTAAAGGAGTGGGCTCCACAGTGGATATAGGAGTGAAGGAGGGAAGGCCGACTTGTGTTTTGGCATGGGGCCCTTCCAGACCCCACCCTGCCACATGTGCGCCCCTTCTCCCCAGCCTCCAGGGGTGCCCAGCTGGAGTTTGCCGCCAGCAGAGGAGTTAAGGGGGAGCCTGCCACAGCAGTCAGGCCAGCTCCAGGGCAGGAAAGCAAGGGCGCCCAGGCCAAGGCCTAGGTGCATCCCACCCCCCCCACTAGAGAGCCACGGGGTGTGTGGGGGGGGGAGAAGCGGCTGTAGCCCTCGCTCTGGCGGCCCTCTCTAATCGCCAGCGGCTATTAAAAATAAAACCTCAACAAGTCGTCATAGCGACCAGACAACAGTGGCTGCAGGAGGGTGGCAAACCGCACCACCAGGCGCCTCTGGAGGGGACTTAGGACACGGTGTGTGCTCCAGCTGGGGTGGGGCAAGGACCCCCAGCCCCACGAGCCCCAACCTCCCCTGGTCCCTGGAAGAAACCAGCAGAATTAGGCCCAGGAACCCAGTTTCCAAGAACTGGACGTGGAGACGGGAGAACCGACTTGATCAAGAGGTCACCAACTTAGATGAGAACCCCCACGGATGGGCTCCCTCCCCGGCCCTAGTTCCTCCGGACACCCTGCCCAACCTATTCAGGTTCCCACTACCCTCCTTTTGGTCCTCGGGAAGGGGTGGCCGGGTGAGGAGGTGGGCTTCGGATTCTCCCCCCCCCGAGAGGGGACCGTGAGCGCAGAGGCTACTGCACCTGCCCAGCGCTGCTGTCTCTGATCCTTGCCGGGCAGGCATGGTCACGTGCTCCTTCCGCCAGGGATCCAGTTTCACTTCCAGCCGCTATTAGGTGGTTCGCATGGTTCATTGCAAATATTTGATAATGAGGTTGAATATACATGGGAATCGGAGGAGGCGTGGGCGGCCATGCCGAGTGCGTGGGAGCGGCGTTCCCGGCTCTGCGGCATCCCCGCCCAGGCCCCAGCAGAGGCTTGGGCCCACAAGCGGGAGGGAGACCTGCCCCGGGTGCGCCGCCCCTAGGCTAATCTGACCCCCAGCCCAGGCACTGTCCAGGAGGCCAGCCAGAGGGCCCTGCGCGGAAGTGGGGGGCGCCGCGGGGATCTCCAGGGTGCTGGCGGGAGGGGACGGTGCACCTGGCGGAGGGCCGGGATGTCCGGTCGCCTCCGGAGCCGGTGCTTCCGGGCTATCTTGGGTGTCTCTGGCGCGCCCCGACGTGCCTGCAGGCCCATAATTAAAGTGAGTCAGGTGCTCCAAAGAGGCGGAGAGCGGGGCTGCCGTGCTGCAGGGGTGACTGGTTGGGCGTTGGGCGTCAGCCCCTTGCTGGTGGCCTGCTGGCACTGCCCATGACCCCAAGGCCGGGAGCAGTGGGAAGGGCCTTGGCCATTCCGCAGAGCCAAGTAGGGGGCCTGCGGGAGGGGCATCTGCCATTATTAAGCACCTTGGGGGTGCACGTCCCCCTAAGTCCACCTTACTGCCAATGTGCCTGTGTCTGCCTGCTCCCTCATCGCTCTGATGTTGTTCCCCCCGCAAGAGTCCTGGCCGACACCCACTGAGCCTCTCCAGTTTGGCGTGATTTCATTTCACGCACACAGACACCGAGCAGTGGATCTCTCCCACTTCTCCCCACGTTACAGATGGGAACATGTAGGGGCCCGGAAGCCAGGCCATTTGCCACAGCTTCAGGGCCGAGGAGTGGCGTGGCCCCCGGCGGTCAGCTCTGACCCCACGGGCTCCTCTGTGCAAACCCTGTTAATACATGGAAGCAGAAGTCCTCAGGGGGCATTTGTTTCGAGGCACACGGATGGGAGCATGAACGACGCTGGGTCCCGCAGCAGCACAGGCACCAGGACTAGAACCCATCCCACTCAATCCCCAGGCCCAACATGCACGGGGTAAGAGGGGCACACCCGAGTCCTGGCTGCCCTCTGTCTTGGCATGTGTTCAGTTCTCTCTGGAAAAGGGGGGCCAACCACCCTTCCCACGGCCAGCGACACTCCCTCCCACCCACACACACACATACACATCCACACATGCGTGTGCACACACACACACAACCATACACAGAGCTGTAGGGCCCTGGCACCCAGGCTGGTTGGCACGGGAGGGTGCCAGCAAGGCCTCCAGAGCCGGAGCGGATTTCAGAACAATTTGTAATGACGAAACACTACATTTCCCTTTATCTCGGGGCAAGGATTTCTGGGTTCAGGGCTCTTCATCCAGGAGCAGCCCCAGCCGAGTGGGCATAGCTTCTTGGAGATCAAGAGTGCCTGTGGGGGCGTTCATTACGTTGTTAGCTCAGGTTGCTCCAGGCCCCAGTGGCTGGGATTGGGCCTTTCCAGCCCAGGCTCCCCAGAAGTAGTACGAAACCTGCCCACAGGGCCGGGAAGGCATTCTCTGTGTTGTTTTTTACTCCCTATTAAATGCTTTTATTTTCCTTTTTAAATATACAAACAGAAACAGAGTGTAAAAGAGCTCTGAGCCCACAGGCATCTTGTGACTATTTTGTGCAGGAAGACCTGCACTCAAGGACACCTGGTGGCTCAGATGCTGTCCCTTGCGGGAGCCGCCAGCCCCCTGTGGCCGCGGGCATGTGAAACATGGCTGCTCTGCCCGGTGACCTGCTGCACAGGCAAAACACATGCAGCCGAGAGGGCTTCATGGGGAGGCATTTCCCATTACGAATGTTCATGTGAATTACATGTTGAAATGATAGCATTTTTTGAGGCATTGAGTTAAATAAACTACAGTATTATAGTACAAGAGATTAAATTCACTTGTTTTTCTTTGCTTAACACGACTCCTAGAACATTTGTGGCTAAAATGGTATTTTTATTGGGCGAAGCCAGTGTAGATGCACGGAGTTCACACCTGCACTGTAGAGCCAGCCAGGTGAGTGGCGGCGGGCCACCCCTAGTCTGGAAGCCAGCAGAGCTCTGGAACCTCTGAGACCCCAAGACCAGGGCTGGATCCAGGGCTCAGTCACAGCCCACCAGCCTCACCAGCTATGTGACCTTGAGCGAACTGCATGGCATCAACATCCTCCTCCAGGTTGGAGGGTTGCTTTAAGGAATGCTCACTCACACATCCAATAGATACTCATGTTCCAAGCACTACACAGGGCGCTAGGGACACAAACTAAAACAAAGCTCTCCTGGAGCTCGGCATCTCTCCGTAAGCAAGTAACAGATAAGCATTCGCTATTTCAAGAAACGTATTTTGGGGATGGTCAGTAAGGCCTGTTTGAGAGGGAGCCAGCTGGCCAGCAAGAAAGTCTAGATCCAGCATTCTAAGCAGAGACAGCCACAGCACGTGCAAAGGCCCTGAGGCAGGAATCGGCATTACTTGTTCAAGGAACAGCAAGGGGCAGGAGGTGGTGGGA